TATGATTATCTAATCCACACAGATCCTGTGAGGAATTTTTGTCTTTATTTAGAGAAGGTAGTTGGGTAGGATACCTGCCAAAGACACAGAGGTAGTAGGAAGCAGAGTTGAAAGTTAAAGCCAGGTCAGCCTGACTCCAAAGCAACTATTCTTAGCCACAATAGTGATTTCTTCTAGCTCAGATTTTCCTCCATATAGACCACTGAGTAACCTGCACAGAGCACTGAACAAATTCAAAACACTTTATTGTATTTGATTTTAAAACTCTGTGAGTCATAACTGTTTCCATTATTCCACTAGAGAAACTGAAGTACAAAAGGATAAGTAACTTGCTACAATGTCCCACCACAAGTAAGCAGCCAAGGTAATTCTGGAGCCAGCTATCTTTTCTTTCTACACAACCCCACTGTAAATAGTCAAGAAACACATTTTAATATCAAGAACCCCAAATTCAGTCAAGTAACTAGCCTTTCTTACAAACTAAGCAAAAAAAAAAAAAAAAAAACAAACTGAAAGGACATTTGATATGCTGAAATAAAGAACTGTTGAAGCCAGGCGTGGTAGCACACACCTGTAATCCCAGCACTCAAGAGGCTGAGGCAGGAGGATCACTGTGAGTTCAAGACCACCCTGGGCTACATAGTGAGTTCCAAGGTCAGTCTTAACTACATAGTGAGACCCTGTCTCAAAAAACCAAAAAACAAACAAACAGAACTGTGAGCACACACCATTTAGTGATAACTTTCAAGTAACAGAAGTCATCTGGTTGTGCCCAAGTTGGTCACATGTCAATTAATTAGTATTAGGAGGAGCTAAGACCATCAGAGAAAGACAGAGCTAGCTAAAACAATGCAAGAGAAATACAGGGTGAGCTTTAATTTCAATAGTCCACCTAGCCAGATGCCAGATCTGTGTATTATGAAGTGAGTAGAAAAATGAGGGCCAAGACTAACCTACATTCCCCATGACGCTCATGGTGATTCTTTTCCTTCTAAAATCTCAGGAAGAGAAATAATGAAGATCAATCCTTTTGTCTAGTTCCCCTTCATTTGATCAGAAAGTAAAAATTCAGTGAACTGGACACAAGAAGTCTTTATTCCATTAGACCTACAGAATTCTGAAGATGATAAAATATCACAAGACCAGGGCATGGCGGCATAGTCCTGTAATCTCGGAAGGAGGAGGTGATAGGATTGCTCCAAGTTCAATGCCAGTCTAGGCTATGTTGTGAGTTCAGTGCCAACCTGAACTGCATAGCAAGACCATGTGTCAAAACGAACAAACCAAACACACTATAATGCTGGATGAATAATAACGAAATACATGGATAGGATCTTGTTTTAAATTTTTATAATTATAGTTTAAAACACATAACTATACATTCTGCAATAGATGAAGATGTCAGCAGAAGCATATAAAATACTGTCGAGCTTTTAATGACTAAATTGGAAGTATTAGCAAACTCCAAGAAGGGACAATTTAGAAGCTATAAGAGGTTTAGTGCTGCTATTTAAAGTAATGAAGCATTTTCTCTTTTTGGACTCATCTCACCAAACGATTTCCTCAGCAAGTCAGACACAGATTTGCAGCAAAATGGAAAACATTCTCCAGGAATAAAACTGATCCCTACAGAGTAGCTGACTTAACTTTTTAAAGTAATAAATCTTTACCTGACATATCTGGATTCCTCAGAAGGCTACCATCAATCTCTTCCCAGCCCTGCTAGACCTTCAGACCTTTACCTGTACCTCATGTTTATGAACGTTACTGAGAGGGCATGACTGTAGTAGCTGTGTGATCCTGTGCAAGGTACTTATGTCTCCAGGCTTTTTTTTTGGCTCTAAAACTGAAATAACAATGGTAACTATCTCATGATGCTAATGAGGATTAAATAATTGCTTTAAATGGCCTTGGCACATATGAAGTGCTCAACAAACCTCAGCTATTATTATAACTGCTGCTGTTATACAAAAAAAGTTTTGTTTTGCTTTGTTTTTTTGAGACAAAGTCTTGCTATGTAGCTCAGGCTGGCTTTGAAATATTTTTTTTTAACATGGCAAAAATAAAAAGTATTTTCCCAATGTATTGAATATTTGGCATGCACTTTGACAGTTTAAAAACTGTATAAACTGAAAATTTTAGATGTAGCTTACAAATCTATTTTGCATTTGGGTTTATTAGCCTGTATGTAACTATTATAGACTTCATATTCTTAACTAGTTTTAACCATCAAATCTTTCATATAATCATCCCTCTACTCTTTTTAATTTTCCTATTGGCTGCAGTAAATAATTCAGCAAAATTTTCAGAGGTTCTTGATCAATATACTTTCTTAACCCTGTGGTATCTGGGAACATCTTCCAGTTGCCTTCATACACAAATACTAACTTAGCAGGGTAATTCTTGGTTTAAAATTATTTTTCCTTACAACGCTGGAGATGTTGCTCCATTGTCTTCTGGCACTTAGAACTCCAAGAGAAAAAACATCTCAGGTCAGTCTGACTTTTTCCCTTTATAAGCAACCTACTTTCTCTGTCTGGATACTTGCAAAATTTCTTTACTCATGAAATCAAATGAGGATATGTTTAGGTGATGCTTTCTTCTCATTAAATTTTAAAGATCCCGTCCGTCGTCTTCATTTGCAGGCCTACTTTGTTCTTCAGCGCTGGACAGTTTTCTTCAATTAGTTCCTTAATTACAGTTTCAGCTTCATTTGCTTTGTCCTGTTTCAGGTATTCCTATTACACATAGAGTCTATCTCCTGCACAGGCCCTCTACATTTCTCCTTTTCTCTTCTTTTCTCAGTTTAATTTCTTTGGCCTTTTCCTCTGCATTCTTTGAGAATTTCTTGTTTTGTATTTACTTCAGCAATTTTATTTTGTGACCAATCCTGCTTACTTGAAATGGAAGGCCACCATCTTTTCCACATGGCCACACACCACCTCTCTATAATTAAGCCCACACATAGATAATGAACTCTTAAGATGTTCATTACTTTCTAGATGATCACCGTAGACTGGTATATCAGTATCAATAGGAGGCATTTTCTCATTTACTTAGTTTATTCCTTTCTTCTGCGGTCTTAACGACCTTTTCAATGGCTCTTTGCTATGGGGTCCAAAAACATGTTTTTCCCAAGCATGACAGTTGACTGGAGCTCATTATCGTAGCCCAGGCTGGCCCTGATCTTGGGCAATCCTACTGCCTCAACCTCCCAAATGCTAGGATTACAGGCCTGCACCATGCCCAGCTTTCACTCATTTTTTCCCCATATAAGCAAAGCTTTAGCTCAAAACTTCCAAATCTTTTGAATATGAAAAGGAAACAATTTTGTTTCTACTGCTTGACTTTAATTCTGAAGAACTCAAGCCACCCCACTGAATTTGTGCTTTATATGCTTTCCAAAGTATTTAACATTTATTAATGCATCTGGATCTTCTAACATTACTATGAAAGGAGAATAGCAGCCCAAATTTATAGAAACGGGACAATGAAGTCCAGAGTAATGCTATGCATAATGGTTGTACTGTTTCCAAATAGCAAAGAGGCCTAAATGCTAGAGATTCCTTTGAAGTCAGTCTACTCATTTATACAGTATTAACAAGTTCATACTTTATCCAGATTTCCTTTTTTTTTTGGTGCAGGGTCCCATTTAGGATGTCATTATCTTCTCACACTCTTCTTGCCTCACAGTTTCTCAGACTTTCCTTGTTTCTGATGACCTTGATAGTCTTGAGGGGTACTGGTCACATATTTTGCAGAATGTGGCTCAATTGGGATTTGTATGTTTTTTCTCATGACTGGGATTAAAGCTTTTTAGAAGACCACAGGGGTACAATGCCACTCTTATCAAGGGTACCTGCTACCAAAATGCCTTACATTGGTGATGTCACCTCCTGGCCAAGCTATTATCAGGTTTCTTCATTGTCAAGTCACTTTTTCTCTTTTTTACTCTTGTGATTCTTTTTGGGGGGGGGTACAGGGATCAAACTCAGGACCTTGCACTTGTGAGGCAGGTGGTGGCACCACTGAGCTAAATCCCTGGCTCTCCTTTCTACTCTTTGAAAACCAGTCACTATACACAGCCCATCTCCTTGGGATTATTAGTAGTAGTACGGATTATCTATGGAAATCATTTGGAATTCTACACAGATTCGTTTACTCTCTCCCATTTATTCATTCATCTATCCACTCATTCATTCGTCAGCCTGAACTCATGCATATTTACTATATGGTTCAGGTTATAAATCTAGTCCCACTTTACTTTGTTATTCAAATCATTCCATTTCCAACCAACCTAAGGTTCTTTTGTTTGATTCAGATGGAAATTGTGAATTGGCAAAGTGCAGCTCTGCTAGCAGCCTTGTTGTCACCAGATGATGCTGGATACCAACAGTCAACACGGCCAGCTGCTGGTTACTGCCACTGCCAGCTGTGCTGGACACCACAGCTGACTCTACTGGTCTTTGTTGGCTGCTGGTCTCTGGAGCTCCATGGTGTGAAGAGCTCTGGTTTTATGTCTTTCATTGGAAATGACTGCTCTGTCCATATTACTCAAGATAAAAATCTCAAATAAATTTATAGGACTTTTGGAGCCCATTATACCCAAAAAATAAATCCTGAGCATATTTACAGGAAAACTAAAGCAAGTCTTTAAGAGGGCCTGTGTTTTCCAGATCACCTCAGAAGGGGCTGGGGAATGCTGCTTATACAGCAGCTTGCGAGCCTATTTCAGTGAAGGTGAGGGCTAAAAGCATGCTATGAATGCTGGGTACGCATAGCATTCATGGGGCCCAGGTCCCTCCCTTCCTGCTCTTAGCCACTCCAGGGTACCCTCTCTATTCTTCAGTATCATAGAAGTGGTAGGCGTGGGGAAGGAGCACCACACTGCCTGGCAGCACTCACGCTGGACTGGAGAATGGTGGTTTGATAGTCAGCAAGGATACCACTAGATTAGCCAAAGAGGACACCAAAGCAAACTGTCCCAGTCCACTGGGGTGCACAGAGGAGCAAAGGGAAGCGAGGGGGAAAAGCAAGTTGGCCACCAGCCAAGTCATGTCCCCCTTCCAGCCAGCACAGGGAAAAATGAAGGAGTCAGGTGTTTCTGTCTGTCTCAGCTCCAGCTTTAGTCACTGGGAGTTCCTTCACTTGTCCCCTTTGTTCGACATACCCTCATCCACTGATTAAAAAAAAATTTAGCACTTCAATTTTTGGGGGCCCAAGATGCTTCAGGCTCATCTTACATATTTCCTGCCCCACTTCACCAGTCATTCTCCTAAGGAGTCCTGGTTCTTTTCATGAGAAATCAAGGTCTGGACACTAAGTGTACATTCATTCTAATTCTTTTCTGGACAAAAAACCGCTAACAAACATGTTTCAGTCTGGCCACACTGATGTACACTGGGAACTTCAATATTAGGACTCAGCTGGAGGAAACCACAATCCCTTAATCACTTTTTCTTTCAAAGCACTTGTGAGCCTAAGCAAGAAAGAAAATATGCAAGGAACATTTTTTGAGACAAACCATCAGGCTTGCTGTATTGGTGAACCAACCCAACAGAGTCACAACAGAGGTGGAGAAGTCTTAGAATAGCAGAGTCATTTGCCGAGGGTCATCAGGGAGAATACTGACAGTATCTTCAGCTTTGCCACATAACAGACACAGCATGGTATACTCCTGGAACAGACAAAGCGCATAATTATCTTAAGGGACAGTAAGATGCTCTGTAATCGACGCTGGGAAAGTTCTTCTCTACAAACGGTCATGATATCCTTTATGAACATCACACGACTTCCTCCTTCCCTGCCCTTCTTCCTTTCTTCCTCCCTCCCCCTTTTCATTGCTGCTCGGGCTGGAACCCAGGGGTACTCTACTTCTAAGGGGTATCCTCAGTATATTTATTTATTTTCAAAATTTGAGACAGAGTCTCACTAAGATGCCCAGGCTGGCTTTGAACTTGTGATCCTGCTACCTCAGACTCCAAGTAGCTGGGATTATAGGCATTCACCTTCCCCTCCCCATTAGATGAGTTTCTTCAACACCTTTAAGCAGTACAGGTTTAATCTGTAATCTTCAGAGTCTTTTGGTTATGTAAGTAAATACGTGCTGATACGCTTGTTTAATATGTATATAAGAATGTCACACTGGAAATACATGGCTGTTTCTTGATCTTAGCACACATATTTAACTTAGTGCTGCTATTTAATAATGAAGCAATTTGAGTGTAGGTCTCTACGGACTTTCCATTCTTAGAACTGTTCTTTTCTAGCACTTTTAACATTAATAATCAACAGGAAGAAAAAAAAAAAAAGGAAGGGAGAAAATTCTCAAATTGAAAATGCTACTTTTATCTATTCTAGAAAAATAAACAAATATGTTAAATTTACTAATATGCCATATCCCATACTCAAATGTCTAATTGCCCAGAATTTCATTTATTTAAGGAGTTTTATGTTTCTTGGGCTAAACAGATATCCACACTGGTGAGAGCAATTTTATTTTAGGTAAAAATCCTTAGGGCAAAGTCCTATTCTTATAGCTGTCCCTTTAAGGAATTTTAATAACAGTCATAAACTACAGAGAAACATTTCTTTTAAACTTTTTAATTAAAATTTTTCTTCTTTAGGAAAATATCTGTGTTTAATCTATCAATATCTCCACACCTGGAGCTGAGGATTTAGCTCAGGGTTCCGGGGCCTGCCTCGCAAGCTCAGACCCGAGTT